TATTCTAGAGCATACTTGACATATTTGCACATCACTTCGTTCATTCACGATTCTCAATTATACAATGTCGATTAACAATATTCTTTCTTCGATCGAAAGTCCTTTAGTAGCCTTTGCAGTTTCAAGTCCGCGATAGATGTAGTGGAGCATTTGAAGGTTATATAATTCATACGTCATAGCGTAACTTTCTCAAGTTACTTAAGTCATCTTCATCTCGTTCACATAGTTCAACAATAATTTCGTAAGTACATCAATGGCTTTTAGAGGTCCAAGATTCTCAAGATATGGAATTTGTCATCATTTACGAGGAAGTACTATCGATTGATCATCGATTTACATCGGAATATTTCTTCATTCACTTCATGGTAGCTCTCATTATCGTTAATAAGTATTTGTATTCATAGGTGACGACGTTCGAGTAGAGTTTCATGTACGTCTTGTCGTATTCAACCTTCTTCATCGAGTTAATCATACCAATCAGTAGGTTAATCATTCATAATTGGCCACAATAATAGTTCATCATAATAATCATTTAACATAACATTTAATATTAATTAGCGGCCTAGTCTCGAGTATTAACACCCGAATTTACCGTCATGCATCACATAATGTTTTAATTTGTTAAAAACATCATTTTTGTTATGAAAAATCATTTTTATAATAATCATAATCAATTGGTATCAAAAATAGGATTTTAAAGCTCAAAAATAGCAATTTCACACAAAATTTCGGACCAGAGTTTCGGAAGATCGATCCAGCCCTTTGGATCAATCCAACTAGAAGCAAAACTCCCAGAGGATCGATCCAATGAAGGGGATCGATCCACTCTGTGGATTTTCAGCCACTGTTCATTCGTCTTCAACCTCGGTTCATTTTTCGGGAAAACCATTTTTAGTCACCGAACTTCAATTAAACTATATAGAGATGTTCTCCAAGGTTCATGGATCATATTAGAATTATTAAAACATATTTTTAACATCAAATTCAAGGTTTATGATTCTTGGTTCTTCAAACATGTCAAACACAAAACTCAACCAAATGACCATTTATGAACATAGAAACGACCTATATGAACATTCTAGTCATTAGATATATCTACGGGCTTACCTCGAAGCTTAATGGAGGTTTTGGAAATTTTCCGGCGAAACTTCCGGCGAGGATTGTGGCTATCTCCGGCGACCTCACACCAATATGACAGCACCACTGCGTTCTACACACTCAAAGCCAACTCTCAGAAGCAATTTGGGAAGAAATGGTGAAGAATTGGGTAGGAAGAGATGGTCCTTATATAGCCAAGTGAAGGAGGATGAAGACACAGTGATGACCTCTCCTTCGACTCTTTCGGCGGCTGGGTGGAGCGGGCTGCTGTCTTCTCCGATTTTAAACGTAAGTCCCTGATTGGGACTAATTTGGTCCCAGTCGGGAAACACTTTTTGGTCCAACTTTCTCCGAATTGAAATCCGTTTGCACCGTTGCGATCGTATAATTAAACTCTATCAAACGATATAATTTTCATATTTATTTGTAATACTTTTTCCGACATCATATTTTTAGGTGGTTGACTTTGACAGAGTCAAAAGTGATTTTGTTGACCTTTATTCAGAAAGGTTTTTACATTTCATTCATATTATTTATTCTCATTATTTATTTCAATAAATCATTTCAAAGTTTACATCACAAACAAATTCTTCATTTATTCTTGATTTGGGTCTGTACTCAGGTTCTCAATCAAGGTCACATAGTAAGTCAACATATTGGATTTATCTCTATGAGATTTATCCGGATTATGATATTGGATATCAAAACATATTTTATTTTGTCCCAAGGCCCAACAACAATTTATTTTTAATCAAAACAAATTTATTTAATTGAATATTTAATTCAATAAATATTAGGGTATGTTTTGGGGCGTTACATGACTGCTGAGTTAAAAACTTGGCCTTTGGTCTGTTGGTGGGTTGTGCGGTGTGTATGAAGTTTGCGATGCGTAATTGTGTGTGAGATGTATTTGGTTTTCATGGTCAGGTTTGATCCTTGCTGTAGCAGCGAAAACTTGCCGTGAAAGCCTTTTCAATTTGGTGGGTTCCGCCTTTTTCTGCAATGGTTTCCTTTGTTCTGTACCCTTTCGGTGGCATCCTTACGTTCGAACTGCTGAGTTCTGTCGTGTGTCTGCTCGTGTGGGAACCAAAGGGTTGGCATTCGATTGACGCCATGGCACCGCTTGTGGTACACTATCTATTGTCTCTTTTCCGGAAAAGTTTTGGCCCATTGGTTGTTGTTGAGTACTCGGGTTTGGTACATCAACGGGCACTGGTTAAGAATTCTCTGTTAGCCTAACTCTGCCCATTAAGTATTTTGTTCCAGGGTTCCCTGGTTCATTATCGGCTTCACCTTCACTTCTGTGATTGTGTTTCCCTCTGTATGACCGCCTATGATGTGTTGAGTTCACTTTCGGTTTTGGCGTGTCAAGGTGCATTGAGGAATGATACCTGGTTGATCCTGCCAGTAGTCATATGCTTGTCTCAAAGGTTAAGCCATGCATGTGTAAGTATGAACAAATTCAGACTGTGAAACTGCGAATGGCTCATTAAATCAGTAATAGTTTGTTTGATGGTACC